CAAACCCTCTTTACAAAGGTTTTACAAATTTTCAAGAAGCATTAGATGTAGCAAGACAACAGATAGGAATAAATTTTTATTTATCTCCTTCTTTAAAGAATTATTCATACCCTCCATTAGACTTCTCTCCAAGTAAAGACCAGAATATTTTCTGCCAACATTGTGAGTGTATGCAGAGAAATTACAAAGTGATTAATGAAGCCAACCAGAACCTTTCAATAGAAAGAACCCAACTCCAAAAGAAAGTGGCTCAATTGGAAAAAGAGATTTTGGATCTAAAAGTCCATTATCCAACAGGTACTATGGAGCCCAAGAAGTCCATAGCTAGTCCGGCCCAAGCGGTAGCTGGTAAAGACTTATCAAATCCGTTGAAGGTTGTAGACTTACCAAAAGCCCAACAGATTCAGAGGACTGTTGATTCCTCTACTAAAATAGATAATCAGACTCAGCAGACCGATAAATCTGCTACAGAAAAAGGTAAAGAAATTTGGGATCTTCTAGGACAGCCCAGTGGAAAATTTGATTACTTAGTCAAATACAGTCCACCAGATCATTTTTCAAATAACCCAGAATTTTCTCAAGCAATTCAGTCCATTAAAGGAAAAGAAAAAATGGTATCCCAAGATAATCAAGACTGTTTATTTCTTCAAGAATCACAACATCCTAATCTAGATACTGTTTCTTTAAAAAAAAAGATTTTTGAAAAAATTGAAGAATTTCAGAAGCAAACTATATTTCTCTAGTTTTGGCAACTTGATGAGAGGTTTGTTCTTTATCTCCCTATGATCATGCTCTCATTGAATGAGAATCGGCTGTGAGTCACATGAATTTTATTTTGAAGTCGTATAGTACCCAATGTACCCACACAAATGGAAGACAATGTGACTTTTGGACAACGTTTTCGATGTGACTCCCAATGCTTGATTTTTAAATCTCTTCTCTATTTTATGTTATATTATTATTGAATTGTATTTGTTATTTTCTTGTATTAGTTGATAATCAATCTACACACAAATCATCCAATTTTCTCAACAATCTAAAGTCATGTTAAGTGATTTGTGTGAATGAACTTTTCTCTTTGATTATTTGATATGATTTTTAGAACTGTAAGTGCCCCAGCTTTTGGAATTGAACATAAGCAAATATCTTATACTAAGGTGGTTGGTTAAAAGTTTTGAAATGGCATAGCACTCAAATACATGAATAAACATACGTGTGTGTTTATGTTTTTATTGCACACTAAGATTTAATGCATTTAGGCAAGTTGCCACTAGCATTAGATGGTATAGCATGAGAAGGAAAGCCAGTGAACTTTTCAAATTTTTATGCCTCATACTGTCGTTATTGCCATTACTACTTGTTTTGACATGTTCACGTTGTCTATGTAATGATCCTGGGAGCATAATGCTCAAGTAACCATCAAGTACAAGGACGTTTGTGTAAGACATTAAACCCTAATACCAAGATCTTTAGAATTCTTGATTTTCACATGTGAATTTTAATTGATCAAGAAAACATACCTTGATCCATGGCAATAATTGATAATTTTTGATCTGCAAAATAATAAACTGTTAAAATTAAAGAAATCGTTCTCTCACTTTTCCTCTCTTTTATTGAATGAATTAATTGATGGATTTCATTCACATTTATAGGCAGAGAGAGGCAGTCTCATTTTGTGCCATAAAACTCTCAACTTTCCATCAAAGTAGACAATTATAAAACTACCATTTCTCAATTGGGCCAATAGGATTTTAGTAATATTAATCACCTTAAATTAATTTCTTTAATATTACATGGGCCACAAGTAATTGGTTTTACATTCTCCCACTTGGCCAGTGTAATATTGTTTTGTTATGTGGTATATAACATAATACGCATACTATTAGCTAAAATCCATCATACATTGGTCACTTAATATATCATCCTTAAGTAAAGACTAATAAGAGTCATGGCGGTTTCACACCATCATATAAACATAATTCCTTCCATGTACTACAGTATTAGTCCCTACCTAATATGACACATAATGAGAAGTTCGATAATTGCATTACATTAATGTCTTCGAAAAGACTATCCCTGTCAGCATTTGCATAATTCATTCACGTACATGTACCAACAGTTATGACAGGAATAATATTTTGTCAAAAACAATACATAAATAAGCCCAAAATATCAATACATAAGCATCATAAATTGCATAATAATGTTAATGATAATTTTCAATAATGCCCATCCTTTCGACATGTTCATTGAATGTCTTTGGTGGCAGTCCTTTTGTTAATGGATCTGCAATCATAAGATTGGTGCTAATATGCTCGATTGACACCTTTTGTTTTTGAACTTCTTCTTTAACGGCAAAGTACTTCAATTCCATGTGCTTAGCACCTTTAGAGTACTTGTCGTTCTTTGAAAAGAAGACTGCTGCAGAATTATCACAATAAAGTTTCAGCGGCTTGGCTATACTGTCGACAATTCCAAGTCCTGAAATAAAGTTCCGCTGCCAATTTCCTTGAACTGTGGCCTCAAAGCATGCCACAAACTCGGCTTCCATAGTGGATGCAGTAATGACTGACTGCTTCGTACTTTTCCATGATATAGCCCCTCCAGCTAAGAGGAACAATAGCCAAATGTAGACTTTCTAGTATCCATACATCCAGCAAAGTCTGAATCTGAATATCCAATGACCTCTAAGTTATCAGATCTCCTATAAGTGAGCATGTGGTCTTTCGTTCCTTGCAAGTATCTCAATACTTTCTTTGCAGCTTTCCAATGATCAATTCCTGGGTTACTTTGATACCTGCCCAGCATTCCGACAATAAAATTGATGTCTGGCCTGGTGCAAGTCTGAGCATACATTAGGCTCCCAACAAGAGATGCATAAGGAATAGCTGACATTTGTTTGCGTTCCAAGTCGTTCTTAGGACATTGCATGAGACTAAATTTGTCTCCTTTCTGAATTGGAACGACACTCGCTGAACAATTTTCCATTTTAAATCTCTCTAAAATTTTATTGATATATGCTTTCTGAGACAACCCTAACAATCCTTGTGACCTATCACGGAATATTTCAATTCCAATCACATAGGTTGCCTATTCCATTTCTTTCATTTCAAAATTTTTAGAGAGAAATTTCTTAGTCTCGTATAATAGACCAAGATCATTAGTAGTTAGCAAGATATCATCAACATACAGAATCAAAAATATAAACTTGCTCCCACTGACCTTTAGATATATACATCGGTCAACGATGTTTTCCTTAAATCCAAAAGAAATAATGATATCGTTGAACTTAAGATACCATTAACGGGAAGCCTGTTTAAGTCCGTATATTGATTTCTTTAACTTACACACTATGTGTTCCTTTCCTTTAACTGAAAAACCTTCAGGCTGATCCATATAAACTTCTTCATCTAAATTTCCATTTAGAAAGGCGGTTTTCACATCCATTTGATGTAGCTCTAAGTCATAATGAGCTACTAAAGCCATTATAATTCTGAGTGAGTCTTTCTTGGAGACTGGCGAAAATGTCTCCTTATAATCAATGCCACTTTTCTGAGTAAAACCTTTGGCAACTAGTCTAGCTTTATATCGTTCGATATTACCATTAGAGTAGCACTTGGTCTTAAAGACCCATTTACACCCAACTCTTTTACATGATTCTGGTAATTCGACGACATCCCAGACTTCATTATGCTCCATAGATTTTAACTCATCTTTCATAGCATCTAACCACTTATCAGAATTGGCGCTCTCAATGGCATGTGAAAATGAAACTGGATCATCATCAACAATTCCCAAGTCAAATTTAGTCTCTTGTAGGTAAACCACATAATCATCAGAAATAGCAGGTCTACGTTGTCTTTGTGACCTTCTTAATGCTATTTCTTGTGGTTCATTTAATGCAGGTTCATTAGTAGCAACTTCATTGTGGGGTGTTTGTTCATTTATTTGTTGTTCAGGTAAATTGTTATGCTGTCCAACAATTTGAGGAACAACAACATTAGAAGAAGTTGAGGGTAGAGAAACTTGAACTCTAACTTCTTGTATTTCCACATTTCGTGGTTCCAAACTCCCACTAACTTCACCATTCTCAATGAACCTAGTATTTCCAGTTTCAAGAATTTTAGTACTATGATTAGGACAATAAAATCTATACCCCTTTGATTTTTCTGGATAACCAATGAAAAATCCACTGATTGTTCTTGAGTCCAGCTTCTTTTCATGTGGATTATAAATTCTTGCTTCTGCCGGGCAACCCCAAACATGCAGGTGCCTTAAACTAGGTTTCCTTCCCGTCCACAGTTCAAAAGGAGTCTTTGGAACTGCCTTACTAGGAACCCTGTTTTGTAGATACATGGCAGTCTTTAATGCAAACATCCACAAGGAAATAGGTAAAGATGAATTGCTCAACATACACCTAACCATTTCTATTAGAGTACGATTACGCCTTTCAGCCTCACCATTTTGTTGTGGTGTGCCTGGCACAGTGTATTGAGAACGTATGCCATGTCTTTCAAGAAATTTAGCAAATGGACCAGGGTGTTGTCCAGTTTCATCATATTTTCCATAATATTCACCACCTCTATCAGATCTAATAATTTTCACCTTTCTGTCTAATTGCCGTTCAACTTCATTGACAAAGATCTCTAAAGCATTTACAGCTTGAGACTTTTCATGCAGCAAATAAACATAGCCATAACATGAAAAATCATCAATAAATGTGATAAAATACTTTTCTCCATCAAATGATGAAACATCAAAAGGCCCACATATATCGGTGTGTATTATCTCAAGAAGCTATGTGCTTCTTGTGGCTCCTTTCTTTGTGTGTTTGGATTGTTTACCCTTAATACAATCCACACAAATTCCAAGATCACTAAAATCCAAGTCATGAAGAATTTCATTCTTTACTAATCTTTCCATCCTTTTCTTGGATATGTGACCCAAACGTTTATGCCACAAGTTAGCAAATCGTTCATTCAGTATACCACGTTTAGTACCAATATTATGATGCAAGGTCAAAAGAGTCTCGGCAAAAAGGTTATCAAGCTTTAATTTGTATAAGCCATCACAAAGAATAGCGGAACCAATAAGATGATTTTGCTTAAACAAATTCAAACATCCATTTCCACCATTACAGAAATATCCAGCGGAATCAAGTTTTGATAAAGAAACTAAATTGCAAGAAATGGAAGGTACATAAAGTGTTTGAAATAAATCTAAATGATGTCCAGTATCTAAAATCAAACGATAGGTTCCAATGGCTTCAACTGGAGCTTTGACTCGATTTCCCATGAGGACAAACTTTTCATTTGGATTTATGGTCTGGGTTGAAAGGAATCCCTGCATCGTATTAGTAACATGAGTGGTATATCCAGAATCAATCCACCAAGTATTATAAGGAACTTCTGCCAAATTAGATTCGAAACATACGTAAGAAATAATCTTACCTTTACTTTCGAACCATGCCTTACGTTTCAGGCAGTCCTTTTTATGGTGCCCAGGTTTACGACAGAAATGGCACACATCTTTCTTGTATTCCTTATTGTGGATTTGGGCAGAAGACTCATTTATCTTTAGTGGTCCTTGCTTAATGCCCTTTCCAGATCTTTTCTTATATTTCTTTCCAGCTCCTTGACGACTTACAAGATGAATAGAATGAGTTCCTTGATTCTTAAGCCTTGTCTCCTCTTGCACGAGCATACTGTGCAATTCATTCACATTCCATTTGTCCTTTAAGGTATTATAGTTCATATGGAATGGACCGTACTCGGGAGGCAAAGAGTTAATGATAAACTGTACTAGGAAGTTCTCATCCACAGTCATCCCAAGAGTCTTAAGTCTTGCTGCAATGTTACTCATTTCAGTAACGTGCTCATGCATGGTACGAGAACCATCAAATTTCATGGTGGTTAAGGTACTCATCAGTGTGCCAGCAAGTGATTTGTCAGCTGTTTGGGAACGTTCTTCTACAAACTTCATATATTCCTTAGCATTCTCAGTTTTAGGGATAGTAGACTTGATATTCTTTGCTAAGGTCATCTGCATAAACATTAGGCTTGATCTGTTTGACCTTTCCCAAGCTTTATGGACAGATCTTTCATCAGCACTGCTCTCATTAGTAAGATCGGCAGGTTTCTCAACTTGAAGTGCCAAGTCCAAGTCCAAAACACCTAAGTTGAACTGAACTTGTTCACACCAGTCAGAGAAATTTAGCCCATTGAACAGTGGTATAGATGAAGCATGCGAATGCAGATATCAAGAGTAATTGATAAATAAATTATGTAATTTGGCATTCAAAATACCATAATGTTTGGCCACTTTGGTGACTAACAAACAACATTAATCGAACATTAATCACATAAATAAAACATTCATATAAATGACTCATCAAAACTTTCGAATAAATCACTTTCTATACCAATTATTGCTTGTAAAATAATTACCACACAATATTCATTGTTGACAATAACACAAACAAGGCAATGAAGGTTGTTAAACTAGATATAATTTTACTTAATCCATAATTTAAATCTTAAGCAATCAAAACTAACTTCTGCAACACTGTACACTTCTGCCAATGTTTTTCGTGCATTAATTGGTTTTGCAATTTCAATTTTACACGTTACTGCTTCTACCTTTTCTATATTCTTTGTAAAGGTGTGATCAAGTCCATTTAATTTATGGACATAAAAGATTCTGAAAGTCGATGGTCACTGTCATGTATGAATGGATCTCCAGCATCAAATCTTATCCTTTGAAAATGCTACAGCTTAGTCAAGATTTTTCTTCTGGCACTTTTAATGCACATATTCAAAGGCAAATAAAGAATTGGACTTTACGAATGACTCTAGCAATTTCTTTCTGGTTTTTTCCATTCCTTCAAATAGATTAAGTCAATTTTACAGTTTAACGCTACGCACGATTTACATATTTTATGCAGCCGTGAATTCCAATAATAATTAGTTTCAATAATCTCAACAAGAACCTTAATACCGAGATCTATAAGAAATAATTAAGGATCGATAAGTGAAAAACAATAATCTTAAGAGGAAAATCAAGAATTCTTTAATCATGGCTCTGATACCACATGTAAGACATTAAACCCTAATACCAAGATCTTTAGAATTCTTGATTTTCACATGTGAATTTTAATTGATCAAGAAAACATACCTTGATCCATGGCAATAATTGAGAATTTTTTATCTGCAAAATAATAAACTGTTAAAATTAAAGAAATCGTTCTCTCACTTTTCCTCTCTTTTATTGAATGAATTAATTGATGGATTTCATTCACATTTATAGGCAGAGAGAGGCAGTCTCATTTTGTCCCATAAAACTCTCAACTTTCCATCAAAGTAGACAATAATAAAACTACCATTTCTCAATTGGGCCAATAGAATTTTAGTAATATTAATCACCTTAAATTAATTTCTTTAATATTACATGGGCCACAAGTAATTGGTTTTACAGTTTGCACTTTAATAAGGGGAAAATTTCAAATTTATATATATGTATTTTTTTTTCTAGTAGTTCATTTGTGCGATTATTCAGTTTGTGGTAATTACTCGACAATATGCAATTGTCCTCATCAGTTGTGCTTATAAATGTGAAACAATAATTTTAGTGCGCTTTCTTTATGCTGGAATCAAGTGGAACTTATATTCAATTCCATTTTCTGGGTGATTGAAAGGTTTCTTTGGAAACCATAAATACAGGTTAGGTATAAAATATTAATTTTCTTCTATTGTTCACTAACTTGAAAAAAGAAGTAAGCTCATAAAATGAGTTTAAGCTAGGTTCTAAAGTGGAGAAATATTTTGGGAATGAGTCCATTAATATGGAAAAAAAAATACTGATGATTTATAATAAGAGCAGGAGATGTGAAGACTAGCTGTTACGGTTGTTTTCACGTCTTGAAGTAGCTCATGATAACATTATATATGTACTCTTTAGTTTTGGAATTTTTTATTTTTATTTTTATTTTTTAGGGTGGAATATTGATTGGCTTGATGATTCAGGATGATAAGGATTAGAATGTGGTTTGGGATCATCCAGCAATAATTGTTTGACAAGTGGAGAATGAGAGAAGAGTAAAAATAATAATAATAAGGATAGAAATAAATCTAGAGTGGCTCGACTTCATATGACTTGAAAAGTGCCTTAAGGTTTTACACCAAAATCAACAAGTTGAAATGCAAGCCTAGGTAATGAATGGCAGCACCAGTAATCAGCATTCCAACCTAGGAGAGGAGCTGTGAAAGCTTTTAGTCCTACTTACCTTTCTTTTTCGCACTGAGATGCATGAAAGGGAAAATACATGTAAATGTAAACTTTCATTATTTAACAAAATTTTATTGCTACATATAATTCTGGCAGAAAGAGAATGAATAAAAATAAATACCCAATTTTCTTTTGTTTTTGGTAGTCATTAAACTCTTGTTGAATTGAAAATTTAGCTTTCTAATTCCACTGAAGGCCTCAAGTAAAACATATTCTTATTTGTAAACAATTATGAGAAGTAAGAGATCCAAAAGTGTGATTTTTTATCCTAGAGGTTATCTGCATAATTGAACACGACTAGTTTGACAGTTGATTAGTGAAAATGCATGGTAGTCGTGTGTTGGTGATTGCTTGATTGGTATCATAAAGGGAGTTTATTTATATTTGGTCTCTAATCGTTGCTATGCTACATATAGAAGTTGTTTGAAGAGTCTCTACGTGGTGGTATACTACATCTGTCCTTGACTCTGATGGTTCAAGAGAATATTGGAAGAAAATAAAGAAGAATAACATGGTCCAAAGAAAATAACTTCAATTTAATATTAATGCTATCAAAATATGTAGTGTATCTGTTATTTAATTGGAAGATGGGGAAATTTATCTAAATGCAAATACTATAGTCAATATTATATCAAGCTGTAGAATCGGTTCGTGTACTATAGATATAGTTATCCATAGTTAAATGAAATTTATGCAGAATACTATTCACACTACTATAGTCAACAATGACTGAGCTCGCAATGATGCATAGTATTACACCGTATGTGTCCTAAAGGTCACATCTAGGAAAGGACAGTCATATATGGCTTGCAAGATTGAACTTCTGATATTATAACCAGATCCAAATCCAATTCTTGCTTCTTTAAATACTAGTCACCTGCCCGTGCATTGCATGGGCTGTGTTATTTTCAAGATAATATTAGTGTATTAAATATGTTGAATTCTCATTAATTACATTTTGAACTAATAATTGTTTGAACTGATTTTCAACCATCTATCTCTGAATAAATGAATTTGTAATAAGAAAGCAAACTGATGTAGAGAAATTCAACTGGATCAAAATAGTAAGATATAAAATCATAGACAGATAGATAAAGCAAAAATTAAAGATTGACATGTTCTATAGATTATATGTATACTACAATCATTTCTTAGAATTCTTCTCATAGTTATGTAGGTCAAGGACGCTCAACATGGATCTTGTTTTCAAATAGTTCACATCTTTAATTGGTGGTTGTGAAAACTTGTGTCCTAACTGCATCAACCAATATTTAAATTTTCGAAACATTAGAAAATAGAGATATTCAACAAAAAAAATATATTATTGCGATGATTTGGAAAGAAATCAACTATCCTTCTCAAGACCTTATTTCCATGCCAAAAATTGGTAAAATATCATTGAATAAAAGTCTTCAAACAGAATCAAATTTTTTACAAGATTTAGTATGTTTCCATCCTAGATTATATTTAGCAAACTTAGGGCATAAATTCAACTTTGTCAATGGTTGGAAAAACAATTGGTCTCAGTCATTTTGTAGAAATGGAAATGCAAGCATCATTAGCACCTTCCCATGCTGCTCAAATGTTATCCATTATATTGTGGAATTTAAAATTGAAATAAAAAGAAATAAAAGAAATAAAAACAGCGATCAACACATATTGATAATCCTATTATAAGATAAGAAAATTAAATATTTAAACAAAATTTTAAAGTTAATTACAAAGAAAATTTAGTGTCATATTAGCTGCATTTTGCCATTTTCATTAGTACGATCAAAATAAAATTTTCCACTTGTGAAAAACATTTACATCAATGTTTAGTTTTATCGACAAGGAAAATAAATAAAACATCATATTATTTTAACTCGCCATATTGTTTCAACTGCGCAAGTCCTCCTGGATGTTCTTCTAACCCGAATAGAAGGTTGCAGAAGCTATAGATGCTCTTTCAACATCTGAAAATTGAAAACAAAAAAAATAGCAAAAAGATCTTCACCCGGAGATTAAGGCTCTTATACTATAGTAAAGACCTAGAATAAAAGTGAAAATAAATATGATTCTTAATGCTGTAGTATTTTGCTGCTATATACGAAGATAAAATAAATATATTCATGCCCCTGAGGATGATCAGGTATTCCTTTTTATGATAAAATGAATTTAAACTTGCTTAACGCGATGCACACACAAGATGCAAAAAACTGAGAATTAGTATAAATTACAAAGTCCTAATTTTTGTGTTGGTGATCTTATTTGTTGTGTTCAATCTTTATTCTTTTTTAGTCGAATAAACTTGTGGATTAGAAGGTTATTGAGTGATTATTGAAGATTGTTAGCTGCAAAGGTTTAGTGTTTTTATTGATAATTCAAGATTTTGAATTGAATTTTTTTATTTGTGAAAAATATTTGACCTCTACTTTGATTTCAAGTTTTAGTTTCTGCATCTCTTCCTCCGGAAGCAACTTTTCTCAAAACTTCCACAACGAATTACGAAGATAATATATTGAGGTCCTACAATTGGATGTTTCCTTTAGAAGATGAAGTCGAAGTTTAGCCAAAAATTTCCCACATGCAATAACAATCAGTACTAATAGGGCATTCTTATCTAATTTCGAAATACAACATAAAAAAGTGTACCATGATTCATTCAAAGCTATATATTCTAGAAATAGCAAAAACATGGAATAAACCAATGCATACAAGAATTAAAAGGAAAATCTAAAATTGAAACTAAAAGGTACTTGACTGGACAGTTAAGACGGTATCACCCTTGGCGATCAGATTATGAGCCATCCACAAATCACCTGCTTCTTCTGGGACCATATGTGGCAAAACCCAAACACTAGAACATAGAAGAAACAACAAATTAGTACTATTTGAACCCAAAAGGAGTAGTGAATTTGAAATTGATGTTTTCTTTCCTCTTGCCTTTTCAAGTGGAATTT